AAATCGAGAATATTCATACCAAGCTATCGATCCAGGGCTCAAGGAGGACGTAACCTTTGTTGAACGCGTCCAGTGAGCTGCGACGAAGGTGGTTGCCGGATTTAAATACGTTGATTACGAAACGCGTCTAGCGGTGCTCGACCTATTTCCCCTGGAGTATCGCGTCTGCGAGGAGACCTAATACTTACGTATGCTCTCTTTGAAGAATGCCTACCAGTTTTTCACCGCTGACTCACACATCGCGGAGACATGGTATAAAGGTTTCCAAGCTCAGGGCGCATAAATTAATTAAGTGGCGATTTTCCTCATTTTTGTTGGCTGGTTCTTGGAATAACCTTCCTCCGGCGGTTGTTCACTCCACCCGGTTCAAAGCACTTTAGACGCTTTTATGTGAGTCCCCACGCCGGCCAGCTTAATGCTCCGCGCTGAGAACTTAAAGAGCAGTGATACGCTCTTTTATGCTTGTACCTTTCCGGTGAACGGAAGCCGCCGAACAACAAGTATGAGGCCGACCCGGAGGCTTGGGCAAAAGCTTCAATCCTGTGCATCAATCCGTGAATTCGTGAATGTGTCCCTACCAAAAAGGATACATACAACTACCGCCGTAATCTCCAAAAGACCTGATTGTTAAGGGACATGTAGCTGGTTTCTGTTGTGGCCGATTTTGTGCTCTCCGTCTTGTCTAAACTTTACAGATCCGGACGGGGTTTCCAGTTGCGGTAAGAAACCTCGCCTGCTCCGCCAGATAGCAGCGGGTACGCTGTTCCGGCGCTTGCGGTTTGCAGTTACCGTCGATGATACACACAGAACTTTGATTGATGTAAGATTTTTTAAATGGTACGCTGTGCGCTTGCGGTTTGCAGTTACCGTCGATGATACACACAGAACTTTGATTGATGTAAGATTTTTTAAATACAAATTTACACACACGTTATCATACAAGGCGTGAGTGCCGGTTGTCCGGTTCTGTATGCTCTTGCGAAAGGAAAAAAATTGTTCCTATGTGCTAACTACTTGGCCTGTTCGTGGGCACGATGGGTGAACAATACCAAATGAACACGTTCTTCATGGATAAGTAGGTGCCACAAATGCGCGCGGTCGGACTCGTGTTTGGCTATAATGTAATGTTTTGAAAGTCTCATGCTAGTGAAGCAGTCAGTGGGTATGATATTGTCGTGAGCAATGTATCACAGACGTTTATTCTAGTAACAGACGCGCCGCGGACACCGTATGGTCTGTCCAGACAATGGCACAAAGTAGGTTCGCTGCTAACCAAATTACTAACACAGATTCTGCCAAGACCTGTGTCGCACGTCCCAGGTTTCCATTCTTACCTTAGACTCACTGACTGCAAATAGCTTGCAAAAGGTAAGTGGCACACACTACCAGGGTGATCCGCTTGGACAACCTTCTGAAATACGTCAAGGGTCGCCTGGACAAGCAGGTGCACTGCCCAAACATTCTAAGACATGCCATACAACAGGCATCCCTGCACGCCGAGTGGTCCACGAGGAAGTTTTAGACGAATGGTTCGTACAACAGTGACAGAGGGGCATTCATGTAAAGCAGTGACTATGTTTAAACGTGGCTTGTTGAATGACCAAGTATAACTTCCCCGGTTTTTATGCGGTTTGAGCCGCAGCCTCCAAGGCTACACCACCGTCGTGTTGAAACTAAGGAGGTGAGGTAAATCTAAGTTGCCCAATCCTGGTTCCCTGTGCCAACATGCGAGCGCTCAATGAGATTTGATATCTACGCTGGAAAATGCAGTGGATTTAGATTCTGCAAAGTGGTGGTTGTTGAACCGTCACCCTCCTCCGAATGATAAAAAGTGTGTCTGTATGTGATTCGGAGTAACCTTGGCGACCATCTTTGTCATGCCTGGTGAGAATAGACCAGAAGACATTAAAGGCACGGGTACCGGTAGGAATCTAGGTATCTGGCTCCCTTCAAATAGGTTTTACTCACTGAACCATGGTAAATCGCCTCAAAAGAAATTCGACATTCTACGGATAGTTCGGCACACGGACTTCCAGATACTCTATGCGGTCCACGTCTGACCAAATCGAGAATATTCATACCAAGCTATCGATCCAGGGCTCAAGGAGGACGTAACCTTTGTTGAACGCGTCCAGTGAGCTGCGACGAAATTGGTTGCCGGATTTAAATACGTTGATTACGGAACGCGTCTAGCGGTGCTCGACCTATTTCCCCTGGAGTATCGCGTCTGCGAGGAGACCTAATACTTACGTATGCTCTCTTTGAAGAATGCCTACCAGTTTTTCACCGCTGACTCACACATCGCGGAGACATGGTATAAAGGTTTCCAAGCTCAGGGCGCATAAATTAATTAAGTGGCGATTTTCCTCATTTTTGTTGGCTGGTTCTTGGAATAACCTTCCTCCGGCGGTTGTTCACTCCACCCGGTTCAAAGCACTTTAGACGCTTTTATGTGAGTCCCCACGCCGGCCAGCTTAATGCTCCGCGCTGAGAACTTAAAGAGCAGTGATACGCTCTTTTATGCTTGTACCTTTCCGGTGAACGGAAGCCGCCGAACAACAAGTATGAGGCCGACCCGGAGGCTTGGGCAAAAGCTTCAATCCTGTGCATCAATCCGTGAATTCGTGAATGTGTCCCTACCAAAAAGGATACATACAACTACCGCCGTAATCTCCAAAAGACCTGATTGTTAAGGGACATGTAGCTGGTTTCTGTTGTGGCCGATTTTGTGCTCTCCGTCTTGTCTAAACTTTACAGATCCGGACGGGGTTTCCAGTTGCGGTAAGAAACCTCGCCTGCTCCGCCAGATAGCAGCGGGTACGCTGTTCCGGCGCTTGCGGTTTGCAGTTACCGTCAATGATACACACAGAACTTTGATTTATGTAAGATTTTTTAAATACAAATTTACACGTTCCATATCATACAAGGCGTGAGTGCCGGTTGTCCGGTTCTGTATGCTCTTGCGAAAGGAAAAAAATTGTTCCTATGTGCTAACTACTTGGCCTGTTCGTGGGCACGATGGGTGAACAATACCAAATGAACACGTTCTTCATGGATAAGTAGGTGCCACAAATGCGCGCGGTCGGACGCGTGTTTGGCTATAATGTAATGTTTTGAAAGTCTCATGCTAGTGAAGCAGTCAGTGGGTATGATATTGTCGTGAGCAATGTATCACAGACGTTTATTCTAGTAACAGACGCGCCGCGGACACCGTATGGTCTGTCCAGACAATGGCACAAAGTAGGTTCGCTGCTAACCAAATTACTAACACAGATTCTGCCAAGACCTGTGCCGCACGTCCCAGGTTTCCATTCTTACCTCAGACTCACTGACTGCAAATAGCTTACAAAAGGTAAGTGCACACACTATCCAGGGTGATCCGCTTGGACAACCTTCTGAAATACGTCAAGGGTCGCCTGGACAAGCAGGTGCACTGCCCAAACATTCTAGAACATGCCATACAACAGGCATCCCTGCACGCCGAGTGGTCCACGAGGAAGTTTTAGACGAATGGTTCGTACAACAGTGACAGAGGGGCATTCATGTAAAGCAGTGACTATGTTTAAACGTGGCTTGTTGAATGACCAAGTATAACTTCCCCGGTTTTTATGCGGTTTGAGCCGCAGCCTCCAAGGCTACACCACCGTCGTGTTGAAACTAAGGAGGTGAGGTAAATCTAAGTTGCCCAATCCTGGTTCCCTGTGCCAACATGCGAGCGCTCAATGAGATTTGATATCTACGCTGGAAAATGCAGTGGATTTAGATTCTGCAAAGTGGTGGTTGTTGAACCGTCACCCTCCTCCGAATGATAAAAAGTGTGTCTGTATGTGATTCGGAGTAACCTTGGCGACCATCTTTGTCATGCCTGGTGAGAATAGACCAGAAGACATTAAAGGCACGGGTACCGGTAGGAATCTAGGTATCTGGCTCCCTTCAAATAGGTTTTACTCACTGAACCATGGTAAATCGCCTCAAAAGAAATTCGACATTCTACGGATAGTTCGGCACACGGACTTCCAGATACTCTATGCGGTCCACGTCTGACCAAATCGAGAATATTCATACCAAGCTATCGATCCAGGGCTCAAGGAGGACGTAACCTTTGTTGAACGCGTCCAGTGAGCTGCGACGAAATTGGTTGCCGGATTTAAATACGTTGATTACGAAACGCGTCTAGCGGTGCTCGACCTATTTCCCCTGGAGTATCGCGTCTGCGAGGAGACCTAATACTTACGTATGCTCTCTTTGAAGAATGCCTACCAGTTTTTCACCGCTGACTCACACATCGCGGAGACATGGTATAAAGGTTTCCAAGCTCAGGGCGCATAAATTAATTAAGTGGCGATTTTCCTCATTTTTGTTGGCTGGTTCTTGGAATAACCTTCCTCCGGCGGTTGTTCACTCCACCCGGTTCAAAGCACTTTAGACGCTTTTATGTGAGTCCCCACGCCGGCCAGCTTAATGCTCCGCGCTGAGAACTTAAAGAGCAGTGATACGCTCTTTTATGCTTGTACCTTTCCGGTGAACGGAAGCCGCCGAACAACAAGTATGAGGCCGACCCGGAGGCTTGGGCAAAAGCTTCAATCCTGTGCATCAATCCGTGAATTCGTGAATGTGTCCCTACCAAAAAGGATACATACAACTACCGCCGTAATCTCCAAAAGACCTGATTGTTAAGGGACATGTAGCTGGTTTCTGTTGTGGCCGATTTTGTGCTCTCCGTCTTGTCTAAACTTTACAGATCCGGACGGGGTTTCCAGTTGCGGTAAGAAACCTCGCCTGCTCCGCCAGATAGCAGCGGGTACGCTGTTCCGGCGCTTGCGGTTTGCAGTTACCGTCGATGATACACACAGAACTTTGATTGATGTAAGATTTTTTAAATACAAATTTACACGTTCCATATCATACAAGGCGTGAGTGCCGGTTGTCCGGTTCTGTATGCTCTCGCGAAAGGAAAAATTGTTCCTATGTGCTAACTACTTGGCCTGTTCGTGGGCACGATGGGTGAACAATACCAAATGAACACGTTCTTCATGGATAAGTAGGTGCCACAAATGCGCGCGGTCGGACGCGTGTTTGGCTATAATGTAATGTTTTGAAAGTCTCATGCTAGTGAAGCAGTCAGTGGGTATGATATTGTCGTGAGCAATGTATCACAGACGTTTATTCTAGTAACAGACGCGCCGCGGACACCGTATGGTCTGTCCAGACAATGGCACAAAGTAGGTTCGCTGCTAACCAAATTACTAACACAGATTCTGCCAAGACCTGTGCCGCACGTCCCAGGTTTCCATTCTTACCTCAGACTCACTGACTGCAAATAGCTTACAAAAGGTAAGTGCACACACTATCCAGGGTGATCCGCTTGGACAACCTTCTGAAATACGTCAAGGGTCGCCTGGACAAGCAGGTGCACTGCCCAAACATTCTAGAACATGCCATACAACAGGCATCCCTGCACGCCGAGTGGTCCACGAGGAAGTTTTAGACGAATGGTTCGTACAACAGTGACAGAGGGGCATTCATGTAAAGCAGTGACTATGTTTAAACGTGGCTTGTTGAATGACCAAGTATAACTTCCCCGGTTTTTATGCGGTTTGAGCCGCAGCCTCCAAGGCTACACCACCGTCGTGTTGAAACTAAGGAGGGGAGGTAAATCTAAGTTGCCCAATCCTGGTTCCCTGTGCCAACATGCGAGCGCTCAATGAGATTTGATATCTACGCTGGAAAATGCACATGACCGTTAAACCCGGCGATATGGTTTCTCCATATACATTTTTATCGGTATTCGGGCACTAGTCCGTTCCAAACAGTAACAACCGTTATTGATGGATGTTTTATGGATTTTTTACCCATTTGCCAAATGAGGATATCTGGTTACGACTTACTTGAGCATGGGACATCCTTTACGATTATTTCAAACTCAACGCTCTCAACGTTCGATTGCCCGCGTAGATAAACCATTCGGGCGGTGGAGGAACTTCAAGCGCTGGATCTCAAACGCTTGAACACAAACGTAATTGGGTATCGAATTATTCAGGAGCAAATACTACTGCTCCGAGGCTTCGCGCCTGTTACGGACGACTTGCCCTCGATGGTCTAGGATAATGCGCCTTAGTCAAAATGGCGGTCTAGAGACGCAGAATTGAGATTCTGTGCTCCGTAACTTGCCAAATAATAATTATGACCGCTAGTGTGCAACTGAATATCATAGCAAGTAGAATGCTGTGATGGTTAACGTTACCAGCTGTGCGGTGACGATAGTGAGGCATGTTTCCATGTTGGGTGCACACCTGCCTTATTTTTACTCTGGAGTCCTTGGCCCCTCCAGAAAGCGCACAGGTGTGAATGCCAAAATGTCCGCAGGGAAGGCGCGCTATGGTGTCCGCTTGGTCAGCGACACTGGACGTATGCCATAAGCCTGCGAGCGTCCGTGCTTACAGCTTCGGAGACGAGCGGAACGGCACAATGCTAGCACACTGCTGTGGGCCGCCGTTTGGTGTAAGAGATGCCAGACCCAGTCTGTTCCTCAGTTAGGCAGGGATAATTATTTTCAGTTAAACCTCCTATTTATCGGGGCCTAGTTCTCAGTAGGCGTCAGCTACAAGAAATGACGCAAAAAGAACCAGCCATTGGAGGTGACTTTGTGATAGTACGGTTCGACGAGGCCCTTACCGCTTAAATGGTCAAAAGTGAAAGGATTAATCCCGGTTCATCACCCTCCTACCTCATGGCTGAATATGTGGATAGTTTACTTGTCTTCCTCATTTAAGGGCGTCAGTCACTTGATTAACACTACGGTTTATCTCAGGACATTTGTAATGAGCAAAACGTCCAATAAAATTCAGTCTTTCATCTCGTCTAATTTGGATTATTTACTTTTCACAGTCGGGATGTTTTGGCACGTATTAGTCGTGTGCGTCAGCTTGGTTCATTTAACTGCCCGCCTTGATCGACATAGGTTACATCTAACCAGTGGTGGACTCTTAGCGCATGTAGCAGTGTTCGACAGCTAACTATTTAATGCTGAGCTGTGCAGGCAAAGGCAGGCTCATTAACTTGGTGTGTGACTCAGTGTCAGGCGTTCTGATGAGCAGCTCGCAATGTGCATCGCATGTCACAAACGATCTGCCAGCTATCCAGGCTGAAGTTGGAAATCCTGCTATGTCTTGTCACATGCAGTGGAGAAATTTGTCGCCAGAAAGCTTTCCGAATACAATGCATGCGTCCGCTTCGATGACTAGCTGTAATAGCTATTTTCGGGGTCAGAAAACGCAAGATTCAGCATCTTTCTGGTCGAGCAGAAAATACACGGCAAAATTTAGTTACGGGAGTGATACTTCCGCATATTTTGTGTCCATTAGTACATTGTAGTCACTTGCACGTTCTGTAAGCTAATGTGGCTGTAAAGCTACCTGGAAATTTTGCCCATTTTAAGCGATTCCCCTGTTGCCGCCAGTCGCGATACCCTATCGCATTAGACACTTTCCTAAATGGTGGCGGTCGATGACCTTGAAGATTACCCCACTTAAACAGATCACGCTCGTAGAGAAGCTGAAAGAAAAGAATTAGGCTGGCATTCTCATACATGTTGTGACAACCTTGAAAACGCAGTGATTGCCGAGATATTGATTCCATCCTCTCAATACCGATTGGCCTTGTGAATCGTCGAGGGCCACGGCATGCTGTGGATGCTGAAAAACGATTGGTAATTTGGTCTACCAATCAGATATAGACGGGGTGCTGGATTTAGAGGCGGCTGTTCTCGCAAGTAATCACACGCTTGTTATGCCCGTCGGTCGTTGTGGCACCTTTTCGCGAACGGTAAGGCACTCTTGACGTAGGATTCACCCTAACGGCAATTCCGAATTTGTGGTTCGTGTTTTGGCTTCGCTTGTCACAATAATGTCAGAGCTCTGATGCAACTTCTGTGATATGTATGGCTTTCCATAGTTTTCATTTTCATACCCTGAAACCTTGTTGGCATGTGCGAAGAATACGTTTCGCTGAATAACTTTGTACTTTGTGGGTGGGAAGGCCTGGGTGACCTTGGTCAGATTGTCTGATAATGCCTGCGCCTGGCGCTGTTCTTCAAAAGCAACCATTGCCCAAACTTGTTGATAGAGCTAGCAGGTCGACGGGATTGTACGCACTCATGAAGTTAAGGAACATCAATTTTGCAGGACCTCCGTACGTACTTCGCTGTCTGGTTAAAAGATGAGATCAAGTTACCCCCTATGGGCATCGATGCCCCCTATGGGTTCGATACCGTCACCCCAGCTGGGCTCTTCATCCCAGCTGTTGGTAAATAAGTGAGACAAGCACCAGCTGGGAATTTCACCTCCATTTTGGGTCAGAATGTGGAGGTTCGTCAAAGCCCGCAGCTCCGTGACGCTGGATCGGGTAACAGCGTTCGATCATTTTCGGAACCGCCGGGTGTACTGTTGATAAAATCGAGAGGTTCCGAGTCATGGTTATAAGGAAGACAGAATAAAAAGGCGTAATGTACGCTTTAATAGTCTAATAACTCTGGTAAATGTGCTGCAAATAAAGTGAAAATGACCAGTTAATAATGTATGAAAGGTATGGTTTACATAGCCATGATAGATACCTAGTTGGGCGAGATGGCCCAAGTGGTTAGGGCGCGAATTTACTGACCGGAAGGTCCGTGGTTCGAACCCGACCTTTGTCTCTCGACTTACCCTGTCTAGGCTCGGGCAACATGGCAGTATCCCAGCCCTTGTGCATGGCAATTAGGCATCAAAAAGGTGCTACAGCTGAACGGTTTTCTTTCTTCAGGGCTGCTTTGCGGTTCGGTGATTCCGCTGGGCAACTACGGTTTAATAATTGTTGAAAAGTGCTCATCCTAGCGACTCAGGCATTTTTCTGTTTTTGGAGATAAGCGAGCTGTTTCTATCAGTGATCGTGTCGCCCACTGGAGCCATCTTTTGGCTTGTTGCGAGTATCAGCTGGAATAGCTTACGCACAATCCGAGAGTTGCTTCCTTATGTCAGCTTTCCAGGTCCAGCGAGCTCCCCTATCTGCGCGGATGCTCTTTGTCTCCTGCTCTTTGATGATTCGCCTAGTGGTATTGTACTCTCGACCACAAAGAACACGTGTCCAAGCTTTGGGCAATATCAGATTGTTGATGGAGTTCCAGTGCTTTGGCCCTGTTGGTTCAGAGTCAAAGTCGCTCAGCTGCAACACCCTTTTAGTGCTTAGCTGTCTTGCTACTCGAAGGAAGCACGAGGGCTGAGGTACTCGGGTTGCTCAGGCGCAGGATCAATCGAGATATTGAGACTGGCTTTGAACAACGAACCTTGACGCCTTAATCATTGAGTTATCTTGAGCTCCTGTCAAAGGAGAACATCACACTTTAAGCAACCAAACACTCCGACGGAATTTTCTGCGTGTAGCATTGGCCCGTATACCACTTTGTTGCGGTGTAAGACTTGTGAGTGGTGACTCAAGATTCTGAAATGAACGTCAGAGAAAAGGGTCACCAGCAAGAACCCAGTTAGATGCGCTGGAGAAACGGGGGAAGTGCTCAATGACCTTGGTGTATATGAATTTGAACAAACTTGTGCTATTGCTACAAGGTTCTTGTCGAGCTAGAGTACGCAGACGAAATCGATCTCGTTTTTGAAAAAAAGAGTAGGAAGCCCAAACATTGCCAGAATAGTCGACCAAGGTTATCCGGTCCCTCGGGATATGCTTCGCTCCCACAAAGTGCAAAGTCATGCCTCTAAGAATTGAAGGAATGACAGTGGAAGTTGTAGAGTGCTGTGCGTAAATCGAAAGTTGCGCTACCACCTCGGATGTTACTGGCAGGCTAATCGTAGGTCCCTTCCGTTCCCATCATAAGACATTATTCAAATAGATTGACTTCGTTGTAGAGCAATGGTCTTCTCATATGGGGTTACTGTCAGCGATGGTGACAATATGCTATTACAACCCTCTGAACGTACTGGGATTGTGTTGCTGTCTAATGGCGCTTTAGTCAAGAGATGTTGGACGGACGTATGCAGGTGCGACTGACACTTCTCCGTGGCCATCAGTACGTGAACGATTACTCTCCCAGTAGTCCCAAATTACGTCCGCGGACGGCTCCAATGGTATCGGTCACTCCATATGACATATAATATCTGTAACTGCGTTAAATACTCACGTCCACTCTCTCGCCCCTCAAATAACCAATTCACCCTTTTTTCTATTATAAACGGGCACATTGGAGGTAAATGTTGCTGCCAGAATGAATAGGCCACATTCTTCTTGGGAGCTGTTTATCTTGACGGTACTACGGTATTAAAATGGATTTTGGTACTGGGAAAGGACCTCATCTGAAACACATGGGATGAGCTCTGTACTTTTCGGGGTCGAGATGGACCAAGTGGTTAGAGCACGAATTTACTGACAGGAAGGTCCGTGGTTCGAACCCGGCCTCTGCCTCTCGACTTCCCCTGTCTAGGCTTGGGCGACCTAGCAGTATCCCAGCCCTCATGCTCCCTTCGTGTAGCATGGCAGCTAGGCACCGAAAGGTGAACGATTCGGGCAAGTGGAGTGTGGTTGGAACGTTCGCAAATAACTAGTTAATGAAATGACCAGCTCCGGATACATTTTCGAGCATTTGTGTATTTTTCATGGCCAAATCTCGTTTTGGGAGAAAGTTTCTCAAGCACGAGAATGGTTGGGTCCAGCAGATATGCCTGCTAAATAAGAGCTATTGTGTTACTTATCATTCTCGACGAAGTGTTTTATGGAGTATTCGTATAAGTGGGTTATTAGGTTCATTTCAGTTATTTATTGTGATCCAATGTAAATGCTCATCCTCTTGCCGTTTCTAGCATCGGTTTGATGCTTACTATGCGTTCTTTCCTTCATTACAGGCTCTTATGTGTACTGGAAATGAAACCAGCGGCGAGCCCCTTGCATCAGACAATACAGTCGAGCTGCATCAAATCTACTACCACCGGATCTACCGATTCGAGTTCGTTTAGTGTCTTATGCCTCCTTCGTAGTGATAGAGACACCTGAAATATCTTTGCATCTTTTGACGTGGAGCAGTAGTGTTTTACGTAAATGCAGCTCACGTGATCGGAAAAGTGAAACTTATTGGTTTCAAAGGATCAGTTTAGAGATATTCAAATTTTACCGCTTCACAATAGGACCGCTTTCAAATTTGCGTCGGAGCGTGTTTTAAGGGTCATTTTTGTCCACCTCGCGATGAGTTTATTGCTTTTTGGTCGACTCCGGCGTCTCCCCTGAGGGACAAAAATTTCCATGGAGTTTTAGTGCTTTTTGGTGGATATGATGTTGAGCATTGTGGGAACATTACAACAGCTTACAACCAACAACTATCGCTGCGCTATCGAAGTATCTGCACATGTCCAGTCAGCAGTGGTTATGTATTGTTCGGAAGCGTTCCACGTAGAATTCTGCTGTTTGTCCGTCCTCCTAGGACAATAGTTTGCACTTCCCATCACAACTGGAGGCTTTTTAGCTCCTAAATGAACCGCTTTCTAGTAGACAGCTATCATTGCCCACTGGATCTTTTCTTGACTTACATCTGGGTGACATTGATCTGTTGATTGAATGTGAACACTTTCAATTCAATTTTGTGCAAAATTGCAGGTTTCACTTTGATATGTTGAGAAAACGCAGCATTGTTTTTTTCAAGATATCGAAGTATTTTGGTTACGATACTACGCCTGCGGGTGATAGAGTCCTCGCTATAGCACTGTCGACATCTTTATGGGGTTTATCAGGTGACTGTGACCTGCAAATTTCTCCTAGTTTCATCTCCTATCCGATCATCAAACTAGTTGAATTACAGCACTCATTTGTGAGTTGAGGCCAAAGTGAGACTTCACTGAGTCCTGTTCGTGACATTCTTCAGCCGCATATACCTGACAGAAACAACCTCGTATTTCAGCCGTACCGATATTCAGGATACCGATATACATTTTTCCCGACCCTACTTATGAGGTTGGTGACCACGCAGATGTGTATTTTGGTGTCCAGGTAAAAAGTGAGGTTGATGGAACTTTGTGGACGACCTGCTTGATGAGTTTCAGCAGTAATGAAATCGATACTGGGCGGAAAATCATCCTCTTCCTTTGGTCTGTTTACTGGATTTTTCTCTGCCTGACATATACATCGGATTTTTTGAGAGTTAAATAGGGATCTGGTTGCTTAAGAAAGTAGGACCTGATCATTCAGTAGACTGTCGCTTTTGGACGATAACCTCTGGCTTCCTTCTGATCCCATTTTCACCCACGGGCATTTAGAGCTTTACATTATATTCTTCACACAGTGAGCGTTGCTTCAGGCTTCGACTAATCAGCGGGCCGTTGAGGACACAAACGATGTACTGGATCAGCAGAAAAAATGGAAATTTTCCCGTTCGTTCTTGGGAAAATCTTGGATGTTTTACCACCCTTGTACCTGCAAAACGCGAAATTCTACTCCTTCATGTCAAATTTCGTCTCTATTCGGAACTGGTAAACCTTTGTCTCTGTGCACCGTGTTTTTTGTCGAGGAATATTCAGAATGCTCACTGTATTTCTCATTTACTACCCTGACTACAGATGCAGTTCGGGACGGCGTACGTGAATTAGTAAATCAACTGTTGAGCTCTAAGCGTACACCAAATGGATATCCTGCCGTTGTTGTTGATCAGCCGTGTTTACTTCGTGTTTTTTGGAATATTCAGAATGCTCACTGTATTTCTCATTTACTACCCTGACTACAGATGCAGTTCGGGACGGCGTACGTGAATTAGTAAATCAACTGTTGAGCTCTAAGCGTACACCAAATGGATATCCTGCCGTTGTTGTTGATCAGCCGTGTTTACTTGAAAGAAAACTGAATGCTTTATTAGATCGTGGCATTGGTGCATTTCAGGTATGTCAAAACTGAAACTTCATTTTCCGTCACCTCCACCAGGTTGTAAGTGACTTTGATCACACTCTGTCGAAATTCCGCCACAATAATATCTCTGTTCCCATTACACACGGTACGTTGAACAGGGTTCTGTCCGAAACGTGCATCCCTTATTTGGATGTGCTCATGCTATGCTCATGCACTGCTTTCATTCCTGCACCAGGTGTTTTCTACGCGTCTTCCAATTTATCCCCTGCCATCAAACAACGGGTGAGCTTGTTTCCTATCTCTCATGTGACCTTGATAGTGGGAAGACACATTGGAATTCTACCTCCCTATTGAACGCGATCTAAATATGCCAGACGTGAAGAAGGCACCGCATATGGTGGAATTTTGGAATAAGGCTCATGATCTCCTGGTCCAAGCCAATTTGCACCAATCTTTAATGAAGTCTGTGATGCGGGACTCTAAAATCGTCCTCAGGTTAGTGTTTATTCCTCGAGAAGGCACCACATATGGTGGAATTTTGGAATAAGGCTCACGATCTTCTGGTCCAAGCCAACTTGCACCAATCTTTAATGAAGTCCGTGATGCAGGACTCTAAAATCGTCCTCAGGTTGGTGTTTACTCCTCCACTATGTACGTGGTGTTTTGTTGTTCGTATTTGGAAATGAGTAGCTTTTCACATTCATTACACTCGAGGTAATTAATTTTTCATGTGAGAGCTCGAGATAGCTCAATGGTTAGGGCGTGAACTTACTGAACGGAAGCTCCGTGGTTTGAACCCAATCTCAACCTCTCGACTACTCCTGTCTAGGCTCGAGCTGCATAACAGCTAGGCATCGAAAGGTTGTAACAGCTGCACCGTTATCATTAGTTATTATTAGTTCTCATGTGAGTGACAATTTCAATGGTAGATCTTGAAGGTTTAGCCTTAGGTCGGTGATAAACTGGCCTTTGGTTTTCAGCTTCATCCAAATTCTCAGTACTCGCCTGAATTGGGGATATGGCTTATTGTTATTAGTCCTTTTATGAGGATGGAGACTTTCAAATAAGATCATGACCGATGAGGGGTGCTATTACGACGCATTTGAGGGCAAGTTACCCCTCTTTGCAAGGTTCATTTATATGATGATTGTGCTTCTTGGTCCCCAGACGGTTCGCTCCACTTTTTATCAATTTCTGTTTCTTTGCTTCCAAATCACTGTCTGCCAAGTATCTCACTTCCGTCTCGTAGCTTTGCTCACGAAAGGCTCTTAAATGACAAGCCGTCACATGCTTGAAAGAGGAGTACCCTCATTAATCCCGCCGGAGTTTTCTTTCGGAAATAAAACTCACTGTCAGCCAATCTGTTTGCTTCCAGTATTTGGGGAGGTTTCAGGTATTGTCTATGTCACTGATGCAGGTGATTTAATTAGTTCCGTATCCGTTTTTTTGCGTTTCTCCCTCTTACTGGCATGGTCGCAAAAATATAGTGTGTTCACGGAAGAAGTCAATCCAGAAGACAATTTGTTGGACAAGGCAACAGCACTGAAGATAACTTAGTATAGATATCGCATCAAATACAAATTCTTGTCAACGACTGTTCACCGTTTCTTTCTTGCTAGTTGTTGCTGGAAATTCGCCCTATCGATTACGGCAGAAATATTAGGCGGCAGAAATGTGGACCCCGATTGCACGTCAACTAGTTGTGCACAGACTTTCTTATTCAAGCTCCCACTGGTCTCTGGTGACTAACCCACTTTATCCTCTCGTACTCTCCCTCTTTCCTGGTGGCGTTCCCCAGCGTTCTTCGTGTACCACTTCTGATAGTATTTTCACTTCTTTAAGTAGCTCAATAAAAGTTTCCAATCGATTGTAGTATGTCACCATGAACACTCCACCAAGTTCCATTAATCCTGGTACGACACAGTTTGAATCGTAGACTTCCAGTTCAAATATGTATCCCCCCAGTCGTTCATATTCCGTCCCCTAAATGTCCTAATCAAGTATTTTCATTGTCTGCACTCGACCACCTCCTTTCGGATGACATGGTATCGGGCGTGTTTTGTTTACTTCAAGTTTAGACAATTTATACCGGGTTACACTCTCAAATCTGATTCCACGATTAGAGTGTGATTGTTCATGAACATTTGAGTGGCACCCGTGTTGATCACCTAGTGTGTCGGCAATTATCGTGACGCCCATAAGTCTTAATGCAGTCGGCTCACCTTGCCTCCTAAAGTGATCCATGACCAATAAAATGCAGTTTCGAGCAGGAGCTTAATGATGCCCCACACCTATGCATTAGAGTTGTCGGTTTTGGAAGACGCCGTTTGCCTGGGTGAGGTCTTTAAAACAAAGTTCGCAGCAGTAACAAAATAAATCTACATTCTGATGTTGATGGGTCCTCCGGAATCTGAGTAATATTCTGATGTTGATGGGTCCTCCGGAATCTCACCCTTGTCGATAGCTTGAAGGCACAGTGGCCCAGCTCATTATGTAGGTTACTCAGAATTCCTTAGCAGCTCGTGAAGCACGACACCTCGAGCTGTATCCGTTACCATGGCTACGGAATGATCTCGATAAGGCACCGATGCCCTGGTGTTGTCTACCAAGGTGGCGCTGACATTCGGAGTCGAATCCCTGCAATGTCTCCTGGCAGCGTGCTATCTGCTCTTCCGCGTCCTTGAGATTCTGCAACAGTGCAGATCTTTTGGTCCGTCCACGCAGTAAAGTGTCTTCCTAACAGGGAGACGGAAGATCGTTTTCCTCCTTTATGAGCGGGACGGTACTAACAATATCCCGATACACTAGATATTTCTCCGAGGTCTAAATGGTCTCCAACGTTATGATGAATTGCGTTGCCGGCGACGGGCCATAGTCTTTGAATAACACAGTTGAGAGTTTGTCCTCTCTTGGCTCCTTTCTCCTTTTGGGGTGTTCTTATGCCGTTGTAACCTGATGAACTCTTACTGGATCCCTGTTTACAAACTTCCGTGTACTTACGGAGAACGAGTGTAGTGGAAGAGGAGTCTGCCTAGTTATCTGAGGTGTCCTGCCCAACGTTCATCAAGTGATGCCTGGTTTAAGGTCATCGGTTTCCTTCCTGATGTTCTGGTTAACTGGAATATTCCGAAAATTTCTGAATCCCATATTCGATGCACTATTGTTCACAATCATGTTCCATAGAAGCGGCTTGTTGTACTTTGATTGTATTCATGACTGGTACTCATCAAGTTTGGAGATTGAGCAACCTTAGGGCGAAAATAAAGTTCAGCTGTAACACTCTTTTGGTGCCTAACTGCCATGCCACCAGAAGGAAGCACGAGGGCTGGGATACTGCCAGGTTTCCCAAGCCAAAGCGGGGTAAGTCGAGAGGCAAAGGTCGGATTCAAACCACGGACCTTCCGATCAGTAAAATTGCCCTCCAACCACTGACCCATCTCGCCCATAAGCACGCTAAGTAACTACATGAAAGGACACTCCCAGAGTGCAATGCATCTCGAAATTTCGACTGATGACCTGTGATATGCGCTGTCTCGAGCGTAGAGTCCACTTGCGGTTAAGTCAAAGTAAACTTTTTTGTGTAAGATCAAGGCGACTACTATAGCAGATGGTAATTCTCGCGTGAACTGGAGTGTCGTCGGATCTCAGTTGGGTAAAAAATGATCTGAAATTGTTAATCGGACTGGAAACATTTTCGAGCCTAGTTGGCCCCCATGAATACTGATTTTCTCCAAAGGCCCGTGTTATTTCTTCTCTTCCAGTTGTATTCGCCTTCCTAGTTACCTCATCCAGTATAATTAGCCTAACGATTTGATCGTATCTGCCGGTTGCTATCCCAAAGCATACTTTGCTCCACAAACAAGGTTGAGCAAACTCGTTGATTGATCCCAAGAGCGCTTCTCACCTCCAGTTGACCTGAAATGTGATGATGGTGTAGGGCATTCCAAGGCATGCTCACTTACCTGACATCTTTCAGTGTCAGCGACTTATCCCACGGCATCGTGAGAGTAAACCTATCCCTAAATTTCGAGTGCTCTCTTCTTATTTAAGATGTCCTTCCCAAGGCTCAACTACTCAACTTCTATCCATTCACAAAGGGCTTATCGTCCGCTCCACTGAGGTTTTTATAACCGCATACGTTCTATCAGACAAACGGCATGATCAAGTCAAGGAAGCGTAACTCTGAGGCTGGAGCACCTTGATGTCCAGATTGTTCACCAAACCGCCTATGCAGCATCCGTTTTCTGAACAGTTATTTTTTTCACCCCCACTCCAGAGAACATGTGCACACTTTTCTTCACTTACTACGGAAACACGGAGTGCCTGTACTGGTCTTTTCGGCTGGGATTGGTGATATTATTGAAACCGTACTGGAACAAGAGGACCTCTGTTCAGACAATCTTCGAGTCCTTTCAAATTTTATGGATTTCGATTCCGAGGTGGGTGAGTCTCTGCACCCGTTTTGGTGCTTTCGTGATGGTGTGACTTGGTGCCCTCATACATTCCAAACTGTTCGGTCAGTTTTCCACTTCATTCCTAGTTGGGCATTTCCACACACACACAAGCAGTTTTTGTTGGAGAATCCAAGATATGTCCGTACTCATCACCGTTTCTTCTAACCAGAGGCGCTATCTTTGAACTGACTTCGTTTGCTGCATATGGCCTTCTAATGTGTTGAAAGGCACACGAGTAATCTCCGATGCACTTATTAGCAATCGATATCCACGTGATTTTATCCATAAGGTACTCTAGGGCTACGTGCGTAGCGTCCGAAATGACTCGCATTTTGTGCTTTATTTATTTACGACTACTGCTTCGTGATTGTTTCTGTATTCGCACTTTGTTTGCTCGTGTATCTGAGCTTGTGGCTTCCACCAGGTGTATATAAAATCAGTAGTCTCTAATCATATACGGTACAGAGCTCAAAAACTGATTTTCACAAAGACCTGGATAGTCTGGAAAGTAAACAGGTGTGAAGTAAAACGCCTTCAACAAGCTTTGACAACGACTAACACATAAGGCGGCCTGGCGCTGCGCATTCAGTTGCTTGAGAACATTACAAACGAGAGATTCAGCTGTCAACAAGCTTTGACAACGACTAACACATGAGGCGGCCTGGTGCTGCGCATTCAGTTGCTTGAGAACATCACAAACGAGAGATTCAGCTGGGTTCCAGGTGAGTCTCTCGAGAAACCAAATTAGTTTGCAAATGAGTGTATATTCGCGAATTTCGTGCAATTTGGTTTCAAGTAGAACAAGGTTGACGGAAACCCGGGGACTTCGTCTACCTGATGAGCCCCAAAAAGGGCGAAACCGGTCGTGGGCTGTCGACGGATTTTCAGCAACCCTATGAGTAGTACATTACAAAGCTTTGACAACATTTTGTTACGGTGCGTTTATCACTTCTTTACCTCTCTAGGGCAATCTGACGGGTTTTCGGAGTCCACTTGTTCATATGTTGAACAAAACCATACGCGATTTACCAGAGTTACAGGAACTATGCAGTTTTCCTGATGCGTCTACGTTGCTACTACTGGGCGACTCGGTTGCAGATACAAGAATGGTTGATGAACAGCACGTGCCGTCCGAAGTTACCTTGAAGATCGGTTTTCTCAACGAACCCGTACGTGGTCCTTTGGTGTCAAACCTTTTTTGAGTAACCCTGGCTCCCCCTAGGTGTTGAAGTTTTGCCAAACTATCTTTCCCCCAATCAATGGAGGCTGTAGAGGAACAATAGAGTGTAGTGGGGCGGCGGCGATGGTCAACAGGGGCGTATTCATTGTTGTGGCTATTTGTGATCGGTTCTTAGAATACCACTACACGTTGTCACACAAGCCACATGCTTGCTTACACAAACATGAATGACTTAACCTATCCGCTGACAGTGCCTGGTACTTTCGTGTGCTACTCAGCGCGCCCAGCTTCTACTCCAACCGCGGTAGGCTTGCTTATTTCAAGCTGGTTGATCTAGGACATAACTTGATCTCACTGGTACGAATATGCTGGAATCTAGGGGACGAAAGTTGATCAGTTCCGTGGTGTGTTGACAACGCACTAGCTTAACAGATTACTGCATTGATCTTTTCCTATGCAGCTCGAGGTAGCTCTGTGGTTAAGGCGCTGGAAGATGTGTGGTTCGATCCCAACCTCCTGTCTAGGTTTGGGCAGCCTGGCAGTTTTTCAACGTTCATGCTTGTTTTGGGTGGCATGGTACCGAAACGATGTTACAGCGGAAGGATTGCTTTTTATTAAACTACCTATTACGTCAGCCATTATTTGTTTGTATACAACAGTACTCTTCATAGAGAGTACTACAGACCAGGGGGGTTGGAAATTTTTGGGCGTAGTCACATGCTAATTTACGTCTCAATAGTAGCGCCCTTCGGTGTAATTCAGAGCAGTGGCTCCACGCGAGAAGTACACTGTGTTGATGGTGCGGTGTGTTTTGTCTTGACTGTCCTGGTTCATACAATGGATAAAAACAAGGTGGAAGATGAGTTTTCGAATCTGGAGATTGCCGCTGAAGATTTGGCGTGCTCCTACACAATTCAGTGATTATATACCATTAGGGAAATACACTCACTTCCTCTTCTGGCGTAGATTCGGACGGAAGGACCACAGCGCGTAGCTCCTGGTCCGATCAGGCGATTCAGGTAGAAAATGACTTCGCGAGAGCCTTCACGGAGTAATCGTGGTCGGGTTTCGGCTATGGTTACACTGTTCTCGATTTGAGAATACCACCAAAACCTGTTGGCATTTTGACAAAACGGTACTTTTGACAAGGCGGCTTGTGAGGTTTCTACCTTGGATTACCTGTCTTCTGACTTGTTTCTCCATATCACGAGTCCTCACAAAGTAATGTTTCGCCACTGACCGCAGTATTTTTGACCATAAGACATGGTTCTTAGAAGCGACCGAAGTAGTACCGTAGGGAGCCAAACGTTTCCTTTCCACACGTGTCATCCTTGTTTTCTAAGTCAGTGAGCTCTCCCTATTGTTGACATGCCCAGTTCATTAGTCGATCGGCGGTGACTGACTTGAATATCAGCTACCACTGAAAATTAACCGTGTTCTCCCCAATAGAAATTTATTCGACTAGAATCGTATTCTGTACAATATATGCGTTTTTTTTCTAACGTGCTGCTTCAGCTGGCGCTTCGGGCTTCTAGACCATTATACAATAATAATCGTTCAGCTGTAAC